GGGACGGCTGACTTGTGGTTATAATTCTTGAAGGGAAAATGTTTTTCTTTCACTGGCATAGTTCAGGTTGGGCCATTTTCCTTGCAGCCCCCAGTGTCAGTGCTACTCTTCCCCAAGGACAACCTTACAGCATCCCCAGTGTAAGTGGCATTTTCATTAATTCCCAGATACAGATCATACATTAATAACAGAAGAATCTTCTCTGCTAACCAGTTGTGCCAGGCTTATTCATCTCTCTAGATTTGCAAGCTGTTTTTCTTTTCTACACCCTGCTCTGGGCCAGTTCAATGAACCTGGAGCATAACAAGAGCAAAGGGAATAACCCAAGCAGCAGGATTCCTGCATAAAGCTTCAACTCTTTAGACTGAGCATCAGGAGAACAAGCATCTCTCTGTCTCAGATCAGTCTTCTTGGTTTTTGAGTAGTCATGTAACTTTAATGTCATGCAATTAGCAAGTCTTGGTACAGGGATTCACATACAAGCATCCTAGCCCTAAAGTTGTACTCTTTGTCACAACCTCTTATAAATGGTTACCACAGTGTCCTCTATTTCCATTTGAATTTTGTCAGAATTACATAACATTTTCTTTGTGTAAAGCTGTCAGTATTCTGGGGATCTCACCCTACCACTTTTGTTTCCATCTATTTCCACTGGAATATCCTTAATCTAGTAATTTCTTAACATTAATTGGGAATTGTGTGCTGGCAATTGATTATATTACGGATAGTGAAATAAGTTATTATGCTAGTTCTAGGACACTCTGGGATAAATTATTCCAATAAATAAACTGGTGAGCAAATTCAAAGTGCCCAGAAGGTATCCAGCCATGTACTATGAAAAATAAAGGCATTCATTGAACAAGATACAAGAAACATTGTCCATAGTACAATAATTCTTCAGTCTCATTCAAAGTAGGTACCTTGGGACCTCACACATTTCTCCCAGTCACCATCAGCTGCTCCATCATATTTTCCTGAATCCCAATGATGGTCTGAAAACTCTTCCCTTTCAAAGGTGATTTTAGTTTTGGGTAAAAGGTAGAATTTGCAGGGTGCCAAATCTGGGCTATAGCGGGGCTGAGTCACCTGGGTGATTTGATGTTTCACCAAAAAACTCTGCATGAGATGTGATACATGAACAGGCACATCATCATGATGAAACTGCCAATCACCCATAGCTGCAGACTTCTAAATCATCCAGATAGTTTCTGTGGAGGAATAGTCAAGCTTAATGCAAAATTTGATGCAGATTTGTTGCTCTACTCGATCAGTCGTTTGGAATGCAATGGCCCACAGTACACATGCTCGCTCCATGGCGTCTACTGCCCCCATTGACTAGTACATGAAGTCATCATTGTTCACGCATGCACATTCAAGTCTACCCTCCTTGGCTGCCAGGTTACAAGATGTCATGCAAACTGTTGTTATATTAACACTGGTTGGACTTTTTCTGGCAGACCTCATATTAACTACAGAATTGAGAAAAAGATTATGAGAGCAAAGGACAAAAAATTAAGGTAGGATGAGAGAAACTGGCCATGTAATGATCCTGGAACAGGGCATTCATAAACAATGAAACATTTCCTAAAGGGCCTAAGATGAGAAAGTAATTAGCATAATATACAAGTCAAATAGAGGCCAGTATAGTAGGTGCATGATGAATGAAGGTGAGAGCACCTTAAAATGAAAGTGAATTGGAAGTAGGGTCCAAATAATGCAGTTTTGCAGGTCTGGTAAGGAATTTTTTATTTTAAGTGCAGGGGGCATGCACTATAAGCAGTGAGTCCCACTCTTTGAATCACTCTTGGAGATTAATAAAAATACCAATGGCCATTCATTCATCAAACAAATAGCTATTGAGTATTTACTGTGTGCATCGTATTTTTAACAAGTTCCTCAGATGATGCTGATTCTCACCAGAGGTGGAGAGACACTTCCTTTACAAGCTTCTTCATTTTTTCTATTATTTCTCTAACCTCCGCCCCCACTGTTTTTCTAAAATTTCAGTGTAGTGTTAAGAACTATCTATTTGCTACTTTTAGTTTGTCATTTCTACCTTGAATCTTCCCTTTCTTCTGAAGCATGAAAAACCTGAGGGCATGGTCTTAGAGGTCCGAGGTCTTTGCCTTACGGAGCCAATTAGACTCCTGTCTTGATCAGCAATAGGTTTGGTCTCCTATCCACCTACTCTTTAAGGTAATGAATGGCAAAGCTTGTGGTCCTCTGGGCTCAGCAGAGTTGTTCTGGTAAAGTAGGTGTCAATGGCTCAACACATCCTCCTTGTCTCCCGTTCTGACTTAGTTTTAGCCACCGAAGATTGCTCTCCTTGTGGAATCATCACTGCATTCCAAAAATATTTTAAGATGTGCATTTACATTATTTTTCAACCAGTGATTTGGAAGTGGTAATCAGTCCCCCACAGAGATTAATTCCCTGTGATTGTTTCTATGTTTCTGATTTTCCTCCCTGATTCTGAGCTTTTGGGGGCAGGTACTGGGTCAGAGTTATTGTGTCCCCAGTGTCCACACTGAACCAGAGTAATGGGGGATTTTGAATGATATTTTTGAACAAAGGAATTTTGTTTGCAGAACTGCTTCTTCCTTCTTTTTCTTATTTGACTTTGATTTCCCTTACAGAGTACTATGCTCTGCACTAACAGAGAGACCAAGCATTTTCTGCTCCCCTGAGTGCAAAGCCTAGATCACAGTTCTTTTAGAAGACCAGGAAATTCCTGGATGCATCTGCAAGAGACAGAAGTGGAAGGCAATCAATTGTAGAGTTGGAGAAATGTAGACTCAAAACCCAGCAATGCAGTGTTAGCTGCAAATTTGAGTAAATTACTTTACTTTTTTAAACAAAAGTTTCCTTTGAATTAAGATTCATTGCCCTCTCCTCAGGATTAATATATATGTATAAGATACCAGGAACTTAAAGTGCTTAATGCACAAGAATTGTACTTGAAGTGTAATGAACCTCACCAATCAGCAGTAAGACTTCAGAATAGGTGTGATAGGGAATAATGTCAGGCAGGAAAGTCATGGGTGATCTTGACTGGGAACCAGGATATGCTGCCTATGAGGATTCTGAGGATTGTGGTTCATGAAAAGGCATTGCATTCTGCATCTAGGTAATTGATCTCTACTTTGGCTGCTCAGGACCTGCTGATCTTGGTAGATTGTTTGGCTCAGTATTGGTGACTCTGGACAGGGTCTTTGTGGAAGGCAGTTTCAGTTTGGATTCTGGGATAGGAGAACAAAGCCAAGGAGTTAACCTGATACACTGAGTCTGTTAGATCATGAGTGGCTAGGCAGAAATCATTCATTGTCAGTTGCAGGAACTATTGTCTAGGGCTGGGCCTGCCCAAGTATCCTATGTTACTGGGCCTGAGGACTCAGTCATGTCTTTGGGGTACCTCTGGCTAAGGAGGTCAGTGTCTTCCAGAATGTAGAACAAGAGTCTACCCAGGGCAGGTCAGGATAGGCCCCTCTGGGCTCTGATCAACCTCTGATGGTGAGAAAGTTGTTTCTTTGAATATATTATGTACAGTTGGATTGAGAGAGAGGAGAGAGAGAGAGAGGAGAGAGGAGAAAGGAGAGAGGAGAGAGAGAGAGAGAGAGAGAGAGAGAGAGAGAGAGAGAGAGAGAGAGAGAGAATTGATATTTCTCCTGTCTTTCATTGAATGTATGTTTTATCTTGGAAGATTTGACCAGTGGATTTTTTTTCCTGAAAATTTCTGCTTCCCTGAGCTCCTCAAGGAACTTGCTCCCCAGTTCTTCCCATTCCAGTGAATGATGCTACCAAAGGCTGCTGTCTCTGTTCTCCAACAAATGTTTAGGTATTCATTTTGCAAACCACTTTGCATTCCTTAAGTGTATATCCTTCCACCAGGGGTATGATGGCGTGGGAGAACCAACCCTTGCTGGGAACCATAACTTCTTTTGTTAGAGCTCTGATTTAATGAAGTGGAGGTGAGTTAGTTAAGTGGGATCCCATGTTGCAAACTTGGGTTTTCCAATTAGACAAAAAGGTAATTGGTATAGATTTGCTGCAGTCTCAGTATTTGTCCATACCTCTAGCTCTCTGAGGTTTTTATGACTCAGGGATATGATAGATTTAGTGCTTGGAGTTCTGTGATATTCCAAGGAGTTGATGCCAGATAGGCATCATAAGTCCATTTTGAAACTATGTAGTGTATGTTCTTCTTGGGTCACATCAGTGTGAGTCTGGATCGTCCTCCATCAGTTCTGGTAGCTCAAGGACAAGGAACATACAGTTAGGGATAACTTGTGGTAACAGGAACAATATAGCCAGATAGAAAAATTGTTAAGGAATGATGATTCTCATAACTGCAAAAGAACCTTAAAGAACTTATCCAACCTAGTCCTCCAAAATAATAACATTGAATTCATAAGATGGGTTGTCATATCACCTGTAAAGATGTCTATTTTAGAATTTTTGATGATGAAAAACGATTAGGATTTTTAATATTCTGGCATATTTATGAGCCTGAGTTTTTAAGATATTACATCACTATGTTATATTTAAATTCGGTTTTCAGAAATATAAATTTTATAAGATATTTTTAAATGATTCACACTTTAAAAAAAAAACTACTGTGAAAATGGGAAGGAGATGATTCCAAGTGTTTTGTGCTGAACATAAAGTGTGCTATGTACATCAGTGTACAGTTTTATTTAATTTGGAAATACCAGTTATATGGTCTTTATTTATTCCTAGACCTGGGTGGATAATGGAAGAGGATAATGCTAGGAGGTTATATGTATATTTGCAAGCATGCTCAAGAATGATGTGTGTACTGAGAATGATGTGTGCTCTTACCACTCTTGCTCCCACACTCGCCCTTCCATGTTGAAGGGTCCAGCATAGCCTTTTTTCCCAGCAGTGTTCCCTTACTGAATCGCTTTCTCCATTTTCTCATATTCTATTGTAAATATTTTGTCCATTAGTTTCAAAAATAGTGTACTTATCTGTGGTTTCAGGGCTTGAAGTTCAAAGATGTGGCCATTTTCTTCTCTCAAAAGGAGTGGGAATGCTTGCACTCTGCTCAGAAGGATTTATACCGAGATATAATGTTGGAGAATTATAGCAACCTGATCTCACTGGGTAAGTTTATCTGCCCCTCAAAATTCAGAATTGACCTTCTGGAATGCTTATGTTCTTTGTTATCAATTTCTTGTAAGTGCTTTTCAAGTGCCTGTCTGAATTAATGATTCTTATTTACCAAAGCATGGTTGTTTCTTCTGAAATTAAAAATTAGCCACTCTGTTTTACAATTTTATCTTTTTCATTTCTCTCATCTTCACCCTTAATCTACCTACTCCTCTTTCTTGATTATCATCGACTGATTTCAGTTCTGAGATACCCACAATATAACTTTGTCCCCTTTTTTACCTTGAGCAGGACTTTCTGATTCTAAGCCAGATGTGATCTCCTTATTGGAACAGGGTAAGGAGCCCTGGATTGTTAAAAGGAAGGAGACAAAAGAATGGTGCCCAGGTGAGTAATGATAACTCATATGGAGAAGGCCACGGCAGGTGGGTCACGCAGCTGGGCTGTGAGAAGGCAGCACTTCTGAGATAATGAGAGGAAAGATCCCTTAAGACCTGAGATCCAGAAAAGAAAGGAAGGATGTTTCAGCCTGAGGCCTCAGATTTTTTACTTCATTTAATACTCTTGTTCTTTTTCCTCATATTTCCCTCTGATTTCACAAAGGAAGTACCTTTGTCCTTCTCAGGAGACAAACATTTTCCCCATACTTTGGGTCCAGTTTTATCCCAACTTTTTGAATTAGCTCTATTGAGATATAATTCACTTACTGTAAAATTCACTTATTTAAACTATAGTTCATTGGTTTTTAGTATATTCCCAGTGTTGCAACTGGGACAACAATCTAATTGTAGAACATTTTCATCACCCTAAATGAAACCCCATAACTTATTAGTAATCACTACCCACACCCAGATATAGGCAACCACCAATCTACATATAATTTCTGTAAGGTTGGTAGTGATATCTCCTTTTTCATTCCTGATATTCATATAAGTTTTCTCTTTTTTTTTTCTTGGTCAATCTAGGAAAAGGTTTGCCAGTTTTGTTGATCTTTTCAGAAAATCATCTTACAGTTATGTTGATTTTCTCTATTTTTTAATCTGTTTTGGTCATCTCCCCTCTAATCTTTATTATTTCCTTTCTTCTGATATCTTTGGTTTAGTTTGCTCTCTTTTTTAATGTAGTTCCTTAAAGTGTATAATTAGTTTATTAATTTGAGATCTTCCTTTTCTTTTTAATATAGGCATTTTAAGCTGTTAATTTCCTTTTAAGATCTGTTTTAACTGTGTCCCATATGTTTTAGTAAGCTGACTTTTCCTTTCATCCAATTCAAAAGTACTTTCCAATTTCTCTTGTGATTCTTTGACTCGTTTATTTGAGAGTATATCCATAGTTATTTAAGAGTATGCTGTTTTCTCTCTCCTTGTCCATCTTCTAGCTAGTGATCTATCCATTACTGAAAGTAGAGCATTGAACTGTCAAATTGTTTTCTCTTCATTTCTGTTAGCATTTGCTTCATGTATTTTGGGGCTCTGTAATTAGTTGCCTATTTGCTTATAACATAATTTCCTGAGATTGACCCTTTTATTATAAAATGTTCGTTTTTTCTTTAGTTACAGTTTTTGTCTTAAAATCTATTTTGTCTGATAATAATATAGCTATTGAAGCTCACTTTTGATTAGTCTTTGCATAGTATATTTTTTTCTATTCTTTTCTTTTAATCTTTTTGTGTCCTTGAATGTGTCTCTTGCAGACAGCATAAACTAGGTAAGATCATATTTTTTAATACCTCCTGCCTATATCTTCCATCTGAGTATTTAATATGTTTACATTTAATGTAATTATCAATAGGGTGGGATTCATGTCTGACATTATCGTGTTTGTGTTCTATATGTGTTATTTTTGTTTATACTTCATTCTTTCATTACCATAATTTATGTTAAATATATATTTTGTAGATTCCCAATTTAATTTTTTTGATTGTCTTTTACTATAGTTTTTAGAGTTATTTTCTCAGTGTTTGCCCCGAAAATTTCAGTTATATCTTAACTTAAAATAATTTAGGTTTTGCCTGTTGAGTATGATGTTAGCTGTAGGTGTGTTGCATATGGCCTTTATGTTGAATGTGTTCCCTTTATTCCCACTGCTGAGTAGTTTTATCATAAATGAGTGCTTTACCTTATCATATGCTTTTCTCACATTTATTGATATAATCATGTTTTTTCTCTCATATTGTTTATGTGGTGATTACAGTTATTGATTTGCATATATTGTACCATCTTTACATTCCTGGGATGAATCCCACTTGGTCATGGTGTATGATCTTTTTAAGGTATTGTTTGATGTAGTTTGCCAATAGTTTGTTGAGGATTTTGGCATCTATGTTCATTAGTGATGTTGGCCGATAGTTTTCTTTCTTTGTTGTGTCTTTAGCTGGTTTTGGAATTAGGATATTATAAGCCTCACAAAAACTGTTTGGTAGTCTTCAGTCTTCTTGGAATTTGTGGAATAGTTTGAGAAGCATCGGGGTTAGCTGTTCTTTGAATATTTGGTAGAATTCTCCTGTGAATCTCTCTGAACCAAGACTCTTGTGTGTCAGGAGTTTTTGGATTACTGCCTCAGTTTCACTAGCTGATATCAGTCTGCCCAGGCTTTCTGCTTCTTCTTGAACCAGTTTTGGAAGATTATATGTTTCTATAAATTTGTCCATTTTGCCGTGGTGTCAAATTTCTTGGCATATATTTGTTCGTAGTGATTTCTTACAATCCTTTGTATTTCTGTGATATCAGTTGCAATATCTCCTCTTTCATTTCTGATTTCATTTATTTGGGTCATCTCTTTTTATCGTGATGAATCTGCTTAAAGGCTTGTTGATTTTTTTATCTTTTCAAAGAACCAGTTCCTGGATTTATTGTTCCTTTGGATTGTTCTTTTCATCTCTATGTCATTTAATTCTGCTCTGATCTTTATTCTTTCTTTCCTTCTAGTCACTCTGGGCTTTGTTTGTTGTCATTCCTCTATGTTTTGTAGATGTAGGGTTAGGTAATTTATTTGAAATTTTTCTGTCTTTTTTAGGTAGAGCTGTATTGGTATGAACTTCCCTGTCAGGACTTCCTTCTCTGTGTCCCATAGGTTTTGGGTTGTGTGTTCATTTTCATTTGTTTCCAGAAACTTTTTTATTCTTCCTTGATCTCATTGTTTACCCATTGATTCATTGTTTAATAACATGCTATTCAGTCTCCATGTATTCGAATGTTTTTGTTTTTTGCTTTCGTTTGGTTTCTAATTTCAAGCCATTGTGATCCATGAAAATACTTGATTTGACTTCAGTTTTCTTGAATTTGTTGAGGTTTATTTTGTGTCCTATTGTGTGCATTTGAAAAAAAGGTATATTTTACTACTTTTGGGTCAAAGGTTCTGTATATATCAGATAAGTCCATTTGACTTAGTGTGTTGTTCAATGCCACAATATCCTTGTTGATTGTTTGTTTGGAATATCTGTCCATTGTTGACAATGATGTATTAAAACACCCTACTCTAAGTGTGTTGGTGTGTATATCTTTCTTGAAGTCCTCCAAGATTTTCCTTATATATTTGGATGCTCCTGTGTTAGGTGTATAAATGTTTACAATGTTTATAGCTTTTTAAGGCATTCTTCCTTTTAGAATTACGAAATGACCACCTTTGTCTCCTTTTATGATCTTTGTTTTGAAATCTACATTGTCTAAGTATTGCTACCATGGCTTTATTTTCTTGTCCATTTGCTTGGAGTATTTTCTTCCAACCCTTTACTTTCAGTCTATGTAGGTGTTTTTTCCTGAGATGGGTCTCTTGTAGGCAGCATATATGCAGGAAACATATATCATGTTTTCTTATCCATTCAGCTACCCTATGTCTTTTGATTGGAGTGTTTAATCAATTTATTTTTAAAGTTACTATTGATAGGTACATATCCTAAGCCATTTTTCCCCTTTATACCTGTGTTCCTCTCTCTCAGTCTTTTTCTTCATCTTCTTAAAGCAGTCCCTTTAGCAAGTCTTGCAATACTGGTATGATGGAGGTGTATTCTTTCAGCCTTCTTTTGTCTGGGAAACTCCTTACTTTGCCTTCCATTTTAAGTGACAGCCTTGCTGGGTAGAGTAGTCTTGGTTGCAGGCCTTTGCTTTTCATTACCTGGAATATTTCTTGCCCTTCCTTTCTGTCTTGGAGTGTTCTGTTGCGAAATCAGCTGCTAGGCTTAGTACAGCTCCCTGTATGTTACTTTCTCCCTGTCCACTTTAAAGATTCTTTGCTGATCTGACTTATTTTTAACAAGAATACTTTGGCTACTGTGTTGGATATGAGATACTAGGAAGGCAACAGTGCAAGCAGGAAGACTCATTTAGAATAGTGTGTTAATCTTGGTATGGGATGGCATTGGACAAGTGGTAGCGATATTGTTCAAGACAAGTAATTATAATCTGGTTATAATTTGGGTCTAGAGATGAGAGGACTTGCTGCTGTTGTGATGTCCTACTTCTTCAGATTCTCATTTAGTTGGTCTTAGGTGGTTCCTGGACATTATATTTTTGTAAGTTCCTGAGTTGATTCTGATTCTCACCAGAGGTTAATAACCACTTCCTTTATAAGTTTTCCCCCTTTTCTCCTTCCTTACTTTCCCTTGCACTACCATCCTCTTTTTTCAAATTGCAATGCAGTGTTTAAAAGCTCTCCATTTGCTAATTTGTTTTTCCTTTCTACCTTTCTTTTTCCTGCAACATGAAAGAAAATACCTCCCTTTTACTTTATTTTTATCTTATAGATTGGGAATCCAGAAGAGAAACCAGGAATTTATCTCCAAAAGAGGATTGTTACGAAATTAAATCATTGCAACTAGGGATAAAACAACCTATAAGCTCCAACCTTCTGTGCACTAGGGTCAGAGATAACAGTGAAGTCAAATGCTACTTGGAGAAACAACAGGATAGACACTTCAGAACAGCTATCATAACCTCTGAAGAAAGGTCTGCTTTCATTCAATGTACAGTTTATAGAGTATCTAAGATAATTCATACTGGAATGAAATCATGTGAATGCAAGGAATATAAGGAAATTTTCAGGTACCAGTCAGACTGCATTCAACATGAAAACAGTCATAATAAAGAAAAAAACTCTAAATGTGGAGAATGTGGGAAAGCCTTTCATAATAGGCAAGACTTGAATAAGCATCAGAGAATTCATGAAAGAAAGAAAAATAATGAAAATAATAAATCTGCCTTTATTCATGATTCTGAAATTAGTAAACCTCAGAGCATTAATCCTGGTGAGAAAGCTCTTAAATGTAAAGAATGTGGGAAAGCCTTTCATTCTAGCTCGCAGCTTATTAAACATCAAAGGATTCATATTGGTGAGAAACCCTATAAATGTAAGGAGTGTGAGAAGGCCTTTCCAACTACTTCCCAACTTAATTTACATCAGAGAATTCATACAGGTGAGAGGTACTATGAATGTAAGGAATGTGGAAAAGCTTTCACCCGTCCCTCACACCTTTTCCGACATCAGAGGATCCACACTGGTGAGAAACCCCATAAATGTAAAGAATGTGGTAAAGCTTTTCGTTATGACACACAACTTAGTCTTCATCAAATAATTCATACTGGTGAAAGACGCTATGAATGTAAGGAATGTGGAAGGGTATATAGCTGTGCCTCCCAACTGAGTCTACATCAAAGAATTCACACTGGAGAGAAACCTCATAAGTGTAAGGAATGTGGAAAAGCCTTTATCTCTGATTCACATCTTATTCGACATCAGAGTGTTCATACTGGTGAGAAACCATATAAATGTAAAGAATGTGAGAAGTCCTTTCGTCGTGGCTCAGAGCTTACTCGACATCAAAGAGCTCACACTGGTGAGAAACCCTATAAATGTAGGGAATGTGGAATGGCCTTTACTTGTAGCACAGAACTTATTCGACATCAAAAAATTCACACTGGCGAGAGACCCCATAAATGTAAGGAATGTGAGAAAGCTTTTATTCGAAGATCAGAACTTACTCATCATGAGAGAAGTCATAATGGTGAAAAACCCTACAAGTGTAAGGAATGTGGAAAGGCCTTTGGTCGTGGCTCAGAACTTAGTCGACACCAGAAAATTCACAGTGGTGAGAAACCTTATGAATGTAAGCAATGTGGGAAGGCCTTTATTCGTGGCTCACACCTTAGTCAACATCAAAAAATTCATTCAGGACAAAGGAGTGAATGAAGATGTGAGAACGTTCAGAATTTAATTGACACCTGAAATTCATGCTAGAAAAACAGAAACAAAACAAAACCCCTGTAATTATAAGGGATGTGGGAAAGTATTTAAGGATAACAGCTTAATATCAAGAGTTTGTACTGTGAATGTAAAGTCTTTAATTAAGGGCCAGAATGTTAGGAATTGGAAGGGTTTATTTGTGTTTCAGAATTCATTTTATATAAGAGTTCAATTGGTGAAAAAGAGAAAAACTCCATGAATGTAAGGAAAGTGGGAAGGTTTAGGATGGCAGCAAATGTGTTAGAGACATTAATCATTCAAACTTTTCTCAACATCATGGTCATTAGCCCTTAGAGGAAATTAGAGTACTTATAACATAAATGACATATACATGGGACACTGAATTGCTTTAGCTAATAAGTTATTCATCTGATAATTCATACTTGAGAAAGACTATAGTAATATTAAAATTGTAGCAAATTAGTTTGTCCTTCCCAAATCTTGTTCATATTTGCAAGCTCATTCTCTAAAATTAGCCTGAACTGAATAAGAGTAGGAAAGAGTTTAACCAATATTTAGTCTTTATTTGCCTTCACTATTATAACTCATTTCTTACAGGTCAAATTACTTAACTCTAAATTTTCTCATTTATAAATTAATAATGTCACCATATTTCTTAGTAGCATTGTGAAGATTAAATAATTGTATCTTTTAGAACAGTGTGGATTGTATTGAAAGTGTGTTAGATAAGAAATGCTTTTATTATTTTTCATTTTCATCATTTTCTTTATTAGAGATTATATGAGTTTAGGGCCTTTTGGGTTCAGTGACTTCATGAACATTTTACATCACGTCTTTTTTATTTTTTATTTTTTGCATTTTTTTATTGTTCAAGTACAGTTGTCTCCATTTTCCCACCCCCACTTTCACCCACTCCCCCACCTCCCACCCTCAATCCTTACTCCGCTTTGGCTTTGTCCATGTGTCCTTTATACATGTCCCTTGATTTGACTCTTCCCTTTTGAATTGGTTCTTCTGGATTCTTAGATATAATCCCACCAGTGGAATTGCCAGGTTAAAGGGCAGTTCTATTTTTAGTTTTTTGAAGAAATTTCCAAACTGTTTTCCACAGTGACTGTACCAATCTGCATTCCCACCAACAATGTACTAAGGTTTGCTTTTCTCCACAACCTAACCAGCACTTATTGTTTGTTGATTTGTTTATTATGGCCATTCTGACTGATGTGAAGAGATATCTTATTGTGGTTTGAATTTGCATCTCTCTGATGGCTAGTGATTCTGAGCATCCTTTCATGTTTTTATTAAAGGTTAAGTAATTCCTTCTGGAGAAAAATTTAAAACTGAAACTCTTATTCATAATGTAAAGAACTCCAATAGGGGATTCATAATGTAAAGAACCCCAATAGGATAAGATTGGGTAGATGTGAGATCAGGGGGAAGATGTATTAAAACCTTTCAAAATAGAAATGACATAGGACACACCATCTGATTTCTGTTCTGGAGAATTAGAAAATAACAAAGCCTTAGCCAAAATCCTTTTCTTTTTTTTCTATAAGGAAATGTAAAAGATACCTGTATAAATAATTTTTACATTAAAAAAGGAAATTAAAGCAAATTACCATTAGTAATGAATGACAAAGAGAAGAAATGTTGAAATGTGTAGGATGCAGCAAAGCTATAATCTGAAGAAAATTAAGTTCTGTCAATATGTGTAGAAAACAGGGAAAATTAAGACCAGGATTAATTCTCATCTCACTGTAATTGTTGTACTGCCTGTTCCCACTAGGTTCCCAGTAACATTGTTGAATCAAAGGAATAAGAGTGAATGAATTAGCATTGGACCCTTGTATGTTGAAAAGCTGTAACAAAATATATGCAAAGCCAAAAAATGAAAAAAGGAAAAAACTTTGAAAGCACTTTTAAATGAAACATTATACCCCACCCCATCCCCAAAAGAAACCACGAATGAGAGAGAATACATAACGACAAAAATGGAGGAGATTTAAAGAAATAAGGCAAAACTACTGTGGGAGGCATTGTTGTGTTTGCCTGTACATTGGTATTAACTCTCCTCCCTTTGCCAGATTACCTGCCACCCACTTAGATCTAAATGCCAGATGCTTACCTAGCTTGCTTTGCACCTAGGCATATGTGTTACAGTTTTAGCCATAGAAGAGCTGAGCAAAAGTCCACAAATGAGTTAAATTTTCTTTTCTAACAAAATAGTAAATGGTCCTCTTACATACAGGATGCATGTCTATGTATCTGTGTAGTACCTGGAATTTTGGCTGTTATGCAACCAGTGAGGTGAGAGGCTGAGATTGGCACAGGACATAATGGAATTACCTGTATCTTTGACATTGTTGAACTGATGAAACAATTCAGAACTCCCCTGCATATCTGTTATAAGCTTATATTCAATTTTTTATAATATATCTGAGTCTTGGGAAAAGTTTTTGTGAGTATAAATGTATATTTCTTCAACTTCATTAAGATGAGAAAATGTTTATCTTCATCTCTTTATTGTACAACTGAAACTATGGGAAAGCATTATTTTCTTAAACATATACATGCATACCTCAGACATATTACAGGTTTGGTTTCAGAACACTGCTATATAGTGAGCACGGCATTAAAGTGAGTCATAATCTTTTTGCTTTTGGAGAGTCTTGCCTTTGATTTGTGAAAAATGCAATATCTGTGACATGCAACAAAAGCAAAATACAATATGCCTATGTGTGTATATACATGCTTGACTGTGATTTAGTAAGATGTAGGAAATGTGTTTATACTCAGTATTTTGCTGTGTGTCTGTTTATATTCAGCTTTTTACAATTGTCTGAAATCCTACAAAAATATTATTTTCCTGAATAAAGTAGGAACCAAGAAAAACTGACTAAACAACTATACCATGTTATTCCTCTTCTACCAGAATATCTTACAAATAAAATCTTCTGTGTCTCCAGTATACAAAGAGTCACAGTTATGAGACTAGCATAACCCTTTAACTAAATTTGGATAAGGACAGCATACAAATTCAAATCAGCTATAAAAAATAATCCATCATACTCATGGTATATGAATATTCCAATTAAAATACCAAATCAAATCTAGCAGCCCATTGGGGAAAAAAAGATTTTTTTCTCTCCAGAATAAAATGCCCTAACCTGTCCAGTTCAAAAAACTGTAATATGTACATACAGTGTTTACATATTTAAAATGACACTAAAACTACTTGCCACTCAAGTGAGTAAACAAGGAGCTTTTATAGCATAACCGTATCCAACTGCTGTGACATCACTGCAGTTGTCCACTTATCATACCTCATAATCATTAGTCAACATTTGGAATAATCATCCAGTGGATTCCACTTTTGCACCTCATCTTAGAAAACATTTTAAATAAGTTTAATGTAAACATGTATTATGTGGTAAATTAAATCAGTCATAGCTAAATATCAAGCAATCCATTAGTGAACAATTTATAACAAAAGTTCAAGTCTTTTTAAAGAAATCATTACTAAATTGTATGTCCACAGGTATATTTATCTCATAAGTCTGTTTTTAAAGTTGTACATAAAATTTTGAGATGTGTGCCCTGTAAAAGAATTGAAGAATTACTAGAGCCAGTTAAAACAAGAGATGATCACATAGTAATCAAATATGATACTGGCATAGAAACAGACATGTAGATCAATGGAACAAAGTGGCCCAGAAATAAACACACCTATATAGTCAATTAATCTTTAATAAAGGAGGCAAAAACAAAATGGAGTAAAGACAGTATTCAATAAATAGTGTTGAAAATTGTACAGATTACATGAAAAAATGAAACTACCATCTTACCTCGAATACAAGAATAAACTCAAAGTGGATTAAATACTTAAAGACCCAAAACCATAAATTTCCTAGAAGAAGACATTCCTAGGCAGTAAACTCTGGCATTTCTCTTCGCAGACTTTTTTCTGACATATCTCCTTGGGCAAGGGATACAAAAGGAAAAATAAATAGGATTACAGCAAACTTAAAAATTTATATACAGCAAAGCAAACCATCAACAAAATGAAAAAAACAACCTACTGAATGGAAGGAGATATTTGCCAATGATATGCCTGATAAGGGGTAAATATCCAAAATTTTAAAAAACTCATGCAACTCAACACCAGAAGAATCCGATTAAGAAATGGACTGAGAGACTTGGTCAAGATGGTGGCATAGATAAACACAGCTCACCACCTTGCACAATCACATCAAAATTACTACTAAATTATAGAGCGACCATTACTCAGAAACATCAGAAATTGAGTTGAATGGAAGTCTGACAACTATGGAATTAGAGAAACCACATCCATCCAGACTAGTAGGAGGGACAGGGATGCAGAATGGGCTAGTCACATGTCCACATGTGGTGGATAGAAATTTGAGAGGGATGTCTTAGGAGCAGTGAGTCCTGGGCCCCCAGCCCAGGGTTCCAGTGATGGGAACTTATTGCAAAAACTGGTAGGGATTGAGTCAGTGGAAGATAGTTGTAGACTCCCAAGCAATTCCTCTTAACCCACACACAGACTTAGACTCACCCTCTCAGCTCTAGCACCAGGGTAGCAGCTTGAAAGGCACCAGTAGCACACACGGAGTAAGTCAAGTGTCTGGCATCAAGGTGATAGCTGAGGCTCAGCTTTCACCCAGAGATAGGCAGAGGCCATTGTCCCTTTTTGAACCCTCCCCCAACAGCCAGTAAGTGGGTGCCATATTTGAGACACCGTCAACCTGGCTAACACTCCCCACCCTGGAGATTCCCTTGAGACTATGCACCCAACTTACAGGCCCACCCAAGCTGCTAAACAGACTTCTCCACATGAATGACATGCTTTACAATTTCCTAAATCCTCACACATGCAACAGCTGGCCTTAGTGAGGCCCGAGGCCCCATACCTCTTGCTAAGTGGCTCCAAACCCAACACTAGCGGCAGTCAGTCTAGATTCACAGCTTGGCTTAGCCTGGGAATCTCTAAGCCCAGAAGAAAGAGCAACCATATCAGACTGCTTTATAGCCCAGGCAGGGTGGCCCCAGGCAAAACAAAGGTGGAGGCTAACCTTGTCCTGCACCACCCAGGAAACCTCAGAGCCTGTGCACCCAGTGGAGAGCTACAAACCACCATCAGAACACAACCCTGCCCCTACACACTTAATCCTCCATGGAGCATGGAGGTTGGCGGTCAGTGGTCACAGCCAGTCCTTGCAGCTGACTGGCCTGAGTAAATCCCTCACAAGGACCTGCCAACAGCAAACAAGAGTCAACTATAAGGAGGGGTGTGCTCAGCCCACACAAAGGACACATCGCTGCTGCCCAGCTTGGGTGAGAAAGGAGACTG